TGGTCAGTGCCACAAAGAGGGGACTACTGTCAGTCATATGGTCAGGTGACACAAACAGAGGGACTACTGGTCAATATCCGTGTGGTCAGGTGCCACAAAGAGGGGACGACTGTTCAGTCATATGGTCAGGTGACACAAAGAGGGACATACTGTTCAGTCGGTGGTCGGTGCCACAAAGAGGGACTACTGTTCAGTCTTGGTCAGGTGCACAAAGAGGGACTACTGTTCAGTCGTGTGGTCAGGTGCCACAAAGAGGGACTACTGTTCAGTCATGATGGTCAGGTGACACAAAGAGGGACTACTGTTCAGTCGTGTGGTCAGGTGCCACAAAGAGGGACTACTGTTCAGTCTAGTGGTCAGGTGACACAAAGAGGGACTACTGTTCAGTCGTGTGGTCAGGTGCACAAAGAGGGACTACTGTTCAGTCTTGGTCAGGTGACACAAGAGGGACTACTGTTCAGTCGTGTGGTCAGGTGCCACAAAGAGGGACTACTGTTCAGTCGTTGGTCAGGTGCCACAAAGAGGGACTACTGTTCAGTCGTGTGGTCAGGTGCCACAAAGAGGGACTACTGTTCAGTCGTTGGTCAGGTGACACAAAGAGGGACTACTGTTCAGTCGTGTGGTCAGGTGCCACAAAGAGGGACTACTGTTCAGTCGTGTGGTCAGGTGCCACAAAGAGGGACTACTGTTCAGTCGTGTGGTCAGGTGCCACAAAGAGGGACTACTGTTCAGTCGTGTGGTCAGGTGACACAAAGAGGGACTACTGTTCAGTCGTGTGGTCAGGTGACACAAAGAGGGACTACTGTTCAGTCGTGTGGTCAGGTGCCACAAAGAGGGGACTACGTTCAGTCGTGTGGTCAGGTGCCACAAAGAGGGACTACTGTTCAGTTCGTATGGTAAGGTGCCACAAAGAGGGACTACTGTTCAGTCGTGTGGTCAGGTGCCACAAAGAGGGACTACTGTTCAGTCGTGTGGTCAGGTGCCACAAAGAGGGACTACTGTTCAGTCGTGTGGTCAGGGCCACAAAGAGGGACTACTGTTCAGTCGTGTGGTCAGGGTGCACAAAGAGGGACTACTGTTCAGTCGTGTGGTCAGGTGACACACAAAGAGGGACTAATGTTCCAGTCGTGTGGTCAGGTGCCACAAAGAGGGACTACTGTTCAGTCGTGTGGTCAGGTGCCACAAAGAGGGACTACTGTTCAGTCGTGTGGTCAGGTGCCACAAAGAGGGACTACTGTTCAGTCGTGTGGTCAGGTGCACAAAGAGGGACTACTGTTCAGTCGTGTGGTCAGGTGCCACAAAGAGGGACTACGTTCAGTCGTGTGGTCAGGTGCCACAAAGAGGGACTACTGTTCAGTCTGTGGTCAGGTGCACAAAGAGGGACTACTGTTCAGTCGTGTGGTCAGGTGCCACAAAGAGGGACTACTGTTCAGTCGTTGGTCAGGTGACCACAAAGAGGGACTACTGTTCATCGTGTCAGGTGCACAAGAGGGATACGTTCAGTCGTGTGGTCAGGTGCCACAAAGAGGGACTACTGTTCAGTCGTGTGGTCAGGTGCCACAAAGAGGGACTACTGTTCAGTCGTGTGGTCAGGTGCCACAAAGAGGGACTACTGTTCAGTCGTGTGGTCAGGTGCCACAAGAGGGACTACTGTTCAGTCGTGTGGTCAGGTGCCACAAAGAGGGACTACTGTTCAGTCGTGTGGTCAGGTGCCACAAAGAGGGACTACTGTTCAGTCGTGTGGTCAGGTGCCACAAAGAGGGACTACTGTTCAGTCGTGTGGTCAGGTGCACCAAAGAGGGACTACTGTTCAGTCGTGTGGTCAGGTGCCACAAAGAGGGACTACTGTTCAGTCGTGTGGTCAGGTGCCACAAAGAGGGACTACTGTTCAGTCGTGTGGTCAGGTGCCACAAAGAGGGACTACTGTTCAGTCGTGTGGTCAGGTGCCACAAAGAGGGACTACTGTTCAGTCGTGTGGTCAGGTGCCACAAAGAGGGACTACTGTTCAGTCGTGTGGTCAGGTGCCACAAAGAGGGACTACTGTTCAGTCGTGTGGTCAGGTGCCACAAAGAGGGACTACTGTTCAGTCGTGTGGTCAGGTGACACAAAGAGGGACTACTGTTCAGTCGTGTGGTCAGGTGCCACAAAGAGGGACTACTGTTCAGTCGTGTGGTCAGGTGCCACAAAGAGGGACTACTGTTCAGTCGTGTGGTCAGGTGCCACAAAGAGGGACTACTGTTCAGTCGTGTGGTCAGGTGCCACAAAGAGGGACTACTGTTCAGTCGTGTGGTCAGGTGCCACAAGAGGGACTACTGTTCAGTCGTGTGGTCAGGTGCCACAAAGAGGGACTACTGTTCAGTCGTGTGGTCAGGTGCCACAAAGAGGGACTACTGTTCAGTCGTGTGGTCAGGTGCCACAAAGAGGGACTACTGTTCAGTCGTGTGGTCAGGTGCCACAAAGAGGGACTACTGTTCAGTCGTGTGGTCAGGTGCCACAAAGAGGGACTACTGTTCAGTCGTGTGGTCAGGTGCCACAAAGAGGGACTACTGTTCAGTCGTGTGGTCAGGTGCCACAAAGAGGGACTACTGTTCAGTCGTGTGGTCAGGTGCCACAAAGAGGGACTACTGTTCAGTCGTGTGGTCAGGTGCCACAAAGAGGGACTACTGTTCAGTCGTGTGGTCAGGTGCCACAAAGAGGGACTACTGTTCAGTCGTGTGGTCAGGTGCCACAAAGAGGGACTACTGTTCAGTCGTGTGGTCAGGTGCCACAAAGAGGGACTACTGTTCAGTCGTGTGGTCAGGTGCCACAAAGAGGGACTACTGTTCAGTCGTGTGGTCAGGTGCCACAAAGAGGGACTACTGTTCAGTCGTGTGGTCAGGTGCCACAAAGAGGGACTACTGTTCAGTAGTGTGGTCAGGTGCCACACAAGAGGGACTAATGTTCAGTCGTGTGGTCAGGTGCCACAAAGAGGGACTACTGTTCAGTCGTGTGGTCAGGTGACACACCAGAGGGACTACTGTTCAGTCGTGTGGTCAGCTGCCACAAAGAGGGGACTACTGTTCAGTCGTGTGGTCAGGTGCCACAAAGAGGGGACTACTGTTCAGTCGTATGGTCAGGTGCCACAAAGAGGGACTACGGTTCCAGTCGTTGTGGTCAGGTGCCACAAAGAGGGACTACTGTTCAGTCGTGTGGTCAGGTGCCACAAAGAGGGACTACTGTTCAGTCGTGTGGTCAGGTGACACAAAGAGGGACTACTGTTCAGTCGTGTGGTCAGGTTGCCACAAAGAGGGACTACTGTTCAGTCGTGTGGTCAGGTGACACAAAGAGGGACTACTGTTCAGTCGTGTGGTCAGGTGCCACAAAGAGGGACTACTGTTCAGTCGTGTGGTCAGGTGCCACAAAGGGGACTACTGTTCAGTCGTGTGGTCAGGTGCCACAAAGAGGGACTACTGTTCAGTCGTGTGGTCAGGTGCCACAAAGAGGGACTACTGTTCAGTCGTGTGGTCAGGTGCCACAAAGAGGGACTACTGTTCAGTCGTGTGGTCAGGGTGCCACAAAGAGGGACTACTGTTCAGTCGTGTGGTCAGGTGCCACAAAGAGGGACTACTGTTCAGTCGTGTGGTCAGGTGCCACAAAGAGGGACTACTGTTCAGTCGTGTGGTCAGGTGCCACAAAGAGGGACTACTGTTCAGTCGTGTGGTCAGGTGCCACAAAGAGGGACTACTGTTCAGTCGTGTGGTCAGGTGCCACAAAGAGGGACTACTGTTCAGTCGTGTGGTCAGGTGCCACAAAGAGGGACTACTGTTCAGTCGTGTGGTCAGGTGCCACAAAGAGGACTACTGTTCAGTCGTGTGGTCAGGTGCCACAAAGAGGGACTACTGTTCAGTCGTGTGGTCAGGTGCCACAAAGAGGGACTACTGTTCAGTCGTGTGGTCAGGTGCCACAAAGAGGGACTACTGTTCAGTCGTGTGGTCAGGTGCCACAAAGAGGGACTACTGTTCATGTCGTGTGGTCAGGTGCCACAAAGAGGGACTACTGTTCAGTCGTGTGGTCAGGTGCCACAAAGAGGGATTTATGTTCGAATCTTGGTCATGCCACAAAGGGACTATGTTCATCGGTGGTCCTAGGTTGCCACAAGAGAGTAACTACTGTTCATCTTGGTCAGGGTGCCACAAGCAGGTACTACTTCATACTGTGGTCAATTCCACAAAGAGACTACTGTTCAGTCAGTGTGTCAGTGGCCAAAAGAGGACTACTTATCACGTCGTGTGGTAGGTACAAGAGGCTACTGACATGTGGTGAGCACCAAAAGGACCTGTCATGTGTGGTCGGGCCACAAAGGGACTCTGTGTCACCGTTGTCAGTGACCACAAAGAATGTCACAGAGTCTCTGTCACAGGTGCCACAAAGTAGAACTGTCATTGTGGTAGGGCACGAGGGACTACTGGTCAGCGTGTGGTCAGTGCCACAAAAGGGAACTGTTCAGTCGTGTGGTCATTTTAACACAAAGAGGATACTGATTCCGTGTGGCGGGCACAAAGAGGACTACGCAGTCGTGGGCAGGGACACAAAAGGGACACTGTAGCAGCGTGGTCAGGCCACAAGACTGGGATACTGTTCATGTGATGTGGTCAGGTGCACAAAGAGGGACACTGTCAGGTCGTGTGTCAGGTGCACAACGAGGGACACTGTTGTCAGTCATGTGGTAGTCCACAAAGGGACTACTGTTCCCCTGGGCAGGTGCAAGAGGCTACTGTTCAGCATCGGTGGCGGGCCACAGAGGGCTGCAGTCGGGTCAGCCACAAGAGGCTACTGATCTTTCCCAGATCTTCAGGGGGTCGGTGCCCAGGACTATGTTAGTCGTGGGTCAGTGCACAAAAGGACTACTGTCAGTCGTGTGCGTGCCCACGAATCTACGCAAGTATGGCAGGTCCACAGAGCGGTGTTCAGTCATGTGTCTGGGAACGTCTCGGTGGCGGGAACAAGAGGGACACTCAGGGTCAGGTGCACAAGAGCACAACGAGGCGGGAGAGGTCAGGTCTGTCTCAGAAGTGAATGGTAGTGCCCACCAAAGGACTACTGTTCAGATCGTGTGGTCAGTGCCACAAGAGTGGCCACTGTTCAGTCGTGTGGTCAGGGGCCCAAAGAGGGTTAGAAATTGCAATGTTCAGACAGGGCAGCACGGCTGGCCCTTGGATGTACACCGAGAGTAAACATTAATCTAGGTACGCCAAGCAGTTTAGTCACCTCAACTTGCTCAATTTCCACATTATTTATAACAAGATTTAGTTGTCAACCCCTAATGGCAAAGTGAAGGAGAGATGACTTCATCACTACTTGTATTTATAAGGTATTGACATGGTGAAATGCACCGAGCTGTCTGTTTGAACTACTGCGCAAGTCTCGGTCAGCCCATGCAACCCCACAAGACATTTCCACCAGAGTCTTCTTCACAGTCCCCAAGTCCAGAACACACTATGGGAGGCGCACAGTACTACATAGAGCCATGACTACATGGAACTCTATTCCACATCAGGTAACTGATGCAAGCAGTAGAATCAAATTTTTAAAAAAAGATAAAAATACACCTTATGGAACAGCGGGGACTGTGAAGAGACACACACAGGCACAGACACACAAACACATGATAAGACACGTCCTCTACACACACGCACACATGGATTTTGTACTGTAGATATGTGGTAGTGGAGTAGGGGCCGGAGGGAACACAGTGTGTTGTGAAATCTGTGAATGTATTGTAATGTTTTTTAAATTGTATAAACTGCCTATTCCCCTGAGGGGTGTGTCTCTTACCCGCAGTCGGGGGCGGGGCACCAGCGGCAGTCAGGGTCAGCCACCAGCCACCGCCTCAACATGAACTCCTCATACTTCTCCATGAGGGGCTGGTCTCCCAGGATGATGTGGATGTCGTGGGGGTTGAACCGCTCAGAGCACTCTGGACAGCTGATGTTGACGCGCGACTCACTGATCTCTATCCGCAAGTACTGGCGCAGGCAGTCCGCACAGGAGCGGTGGTGGCAGGTCATGATGTCTGGGAAACGGTCTCTGGCGTGGCGGAGGAGACAGAGAGGACACTCCAGGAGCTCAGAGGAGGAAGAGGCCACAACGGGGGCGGAGAGCGTCGAGGTCTTGTCTCCATGACATATCTCTGAATGGATGCTCTCCACGCTGGCGATCCCGTCCACACCGCCACACTGTAAGTCCTGGGATTTCCTCTTGGGGTCTCGGTCCCCACGGTGGCGCCGGCTGAACAGCGAGCGCAGGGAGAGGCGTCTCTTCTTGGGGGTTTTCCTGATGGAGGGCAGGCTGATGGATGAGGCTGCTGAGTGGAGGTCCCTCTCAGACCCAGAACCCCCCCGCTCCCCTCTCATCTCCCCACCAGAGGAGGCTCCTCCGCCACCACCACCAGGCAGGGGGGCATCCACAGGGAGGGAGGGGGACGGTGAGAGGGGCTGGGGGGACAGGGTGTTGAGGAGCAGGCGCAGGCTGTTAAGGCATGGTGGTGGTCTCTGGTGGCGGCCCGGGCCTGCTCTCCAGGTCTGGTCTCGTATGGCCCACAGGGCTGGATCGGTTCTGGACACCACACACTACCTGGAGGGAGAGAGGGAGTGGGTCAGAGACTGAACACACAGAGACAGACTGGACAAACAGAGACAGGGTAAGGGATAGACTGGAGACTTGTGTAGGTCAAAGGAAGTGTGCTCACTGTTTCAGTTAGAGAAGACATTTCCTCCTTTTGTACAGAAAACATACAACAATGGAAAAAACCTAAACAGTTTACAAAAGTGTTCTGGGACATAGGCTAGTTAATGTCATGGAACATCTACGTGGGTGGTGACAAATATATACAGTAAGGAGTATTAGAGCACTGAAGCAAGATAACTAAACTACTTCCTGGTGAAACAAGCTGACACTTGCGTGTTGTGTTCATCAAAGAGCAAGTCAAAGCTGCAGTACCAGTAATCACATCAAGATACGCTACCGCAGAACACTATGAGATATGGAACTACAGAACACTATGGAACTACAGAACACTATATGAGATATGGAACTACAGAACACTAGATGAGATATGGAACTACAGAACACTATATGAGATATGGAACTACAGAACACTATGGAACTACAGAACACTATATGAGATATGGAACTACAGAACACTATATGAGATATGGAACTACAGAACACTATATGAGATATCTCTCTAGGTTTCTTCCTAGGTTTTCGCCTTTCTAGGGAGTTTTTCCTAGCCACCGTGCTTCTACACCTGCATTACTAGCTGTTTGGGGTTTTAGGCTGGGTTTCTGTACAGCACTTCGAGATATTAGCTGATGTAAGAAGGGCTATATGAAATAAAATTGATTGATTGATTGATATGGAACTACAGAACACTATGAGATATGGAACTACAGAACACTATATGAGATATGGAACTACAGAAACACTAATTAGATAGGAACTACAGAACACTATATGAAGATATGGAACTACAACACTATGGAACTCCAGAACACTATATGAGTATGGAACTACAAGAACACTCATTGGGAGATATGGAGCGGCTACAGGAACTCAGCTATATGAGATTGGAACGACAGACACATATGAGATATGAACTACATAAACACTAATTAGATATGTAACTACATAACACTATATGAATATGGAACGACAGATCCTATCTGCGGATATGGGACTACAGAACCTATATGAGATATAAAACTACCAGAACCATACATGGATATGAAACTTACAGAACACTAAGAGATAGAAACTACATGAGAACACTATATTGAGATATGGAACTAAGAACACTATGAGATATTGAACTACAGAACACATGGAACTAACAGAACACATGAGATATGAACTGCAATAACCACTAAGATATGGACTACAATAAACTATATGAGATAGGAACTCCAGAACACTATATGAGATGGAACTACAGAACACTATATTATATTGGAACTACCGTAACACTATGAGATATGGAACTACAGAACCCTAGATGAGATATGGACTACAGAGCCCTATATTAGATTGGGACTACAGAACACTATTGAAGATATGAAACTACAAACACTAAATGAGATCTAAACTAACAGAACACTAAAGTATGAAACTACAGAACACCTATAGATGATATGAAACTACAGCACACTATATAGAATATGGAACTACGGAACACTATGAGATATGGAACTACATAAAACTATGGAACTACAGAAACTATGAGAGATGAACTGCAGGAACACTATGAGATATGGAACTACTAACACTATGAACTAATTGGACTACAGAGTGCGGAATTTTAGTGGGTAGAGCATTGTCCAGTAAACCACCGAAAGTTCTCTGGTTCTAATCCCCGATCCGACTAGTGAAAAATCTGTCGATGTGCCCTTAAGAAAGGCCCTTAACCCTAATTGCTCCTGTAAGTCGCTCTGTATAAGAGCGTTCTTGGCTGCTAATGACTAAAATGTAAATGTAACACACTATGGAACTTACAGAACACTATAGATATGGAACTGCAGAACACGATGAATAGCACACAGGAACTCTATATGATATTGGAACTACGAACACTAAGGAGATATGGAACTACAGAACACTATTTAGATATGGAACTACAAGGAACACTATATGAATATGGGACTACAGAACACTATTGATTGGAACTAACATAACACTATGGAACTATCAGAAGCATTATATCGTAACTCAAGAAACACTATGAGATATGGCAACTGCAAACACTATGAGATATGGAACTACAGACACTATATTAGATATGGACTACAGAACACTATGGTAGATATGTGAACTGCAAGAACACTATGAGATATGGAACCTACACGAACTCTATATACAGATCTGTAACTACAGAACACTTCATGATATATTAAACTACAGAACGCTATATAATATATGAAAAACTACAAACACTATATGAATATGGAAACTACACGAACACGTAATGAGATATGGAACTTACATACACTATGGAACTACAGACACTATTTATATGAACTGTCCAGAACCTAGAGATATGGAACTACCAACACTATTAGATATGGACTAACAGGAAGGGCGGAATTTTAGTGGTTAAACATTGTGCCATTACCCGAAAGGTCGCTGGTTCTTCCCCGATCTACTAGGTGAAAAATCTGTCGATTTCCCTTAAGAAAGGCCACTTAACCCTAATGCTCCTGTAGTGCCTGGATAAGAAGCGTCTGCTAATGACTAAATGTAAAAATGTAAACACATGAACTACAGAACAACTATGGATATATGAACTGCAGCACACTATGAGAATAGGAACTACGAACGACTCTATATGAGATATGGAACTACAGAACACTATATGAAATCTGGAACTACGAACACTATATGAGATATGTAACTACAGAACACTATATGATATAGGGTACTACAGAACACTAGAGATATGGAACTACCGCACCCTATGAACTCAGAACTTGAGTATGGAACTACACGAAACACTATGAGATATGGAACGCAGAAACTAATGAGATATGGGAACTACAGAAAACTATATGAGATTGGAACTACAGAACACATGAGATGTGGAACTACAGAACACTATGATATATGAACTACAAACCTATAAGCTATTGAACTAGCAGAACCACTATGATATAATGCCTACAAGAACACTATTGAGAATATGGGAACGACAGAACACTATATGAAGATATGGTAACTACAGACCCTAATGGAAACTACAGAACAGTGAGATATGGAACTACAGACACTATGAGATATGAACTGCATAAACACTATGAATCTGAACTACAGAACACTTATGAGATATGGAACTACAGCCACTAGGATATGTGGAACTACCGAACACTATGAGATATGGAACTACAGAACCTATGAGATATGGAACCTACAGACACTTATATATATGGAATACCAGAACACTATATGAAATGGAACTACAGAACACTATATGAGATATGGACTGCAGAACCTAATGAGATATGGACTACAAACTCGCTATCTGATATATGGAACTACAGAACACTATATTAGATATGAACTACAGAACCTTGTGTGAAGATATGAACACAGAACACTAATATGAGATATGGAACTACAGACACATGAGATAGAACTACAGAACACTATGGAACTATCGTACAGACACATGAGATATGGAACTGCATAACACTATGAATATTGAACTACAGAACACTGAATATGTGACTACAGAGTCTGATTTTGTGGGTTAAGAATCATTTTGCCAGTAACCGAAGGAGGTCGCTGGTTCTAAAATCCCCTAGCCACGACTAGGTGAAAAATTCTGTTTCGATGTGCCCTTAAGAAAAGGCACTTAACCTAATTGCTCCTTTTAAGTCGCTCTGGATACGAGCGTCTGCTAAATGACGTAAATGTAAAATGTAAAACAAAACACTTTTGAACTACATAACACTATTAGATTGGAACTGCAGAACACTATGAGATAGGGAACTACAGAACTCTATATGACTCTGGAACTACAGAACACTATATTAGATATGGAACTACAGAACACCTATATGAGATATGGAAACTACATAACCCCTATATGGAGATATGGATACATAACACTATGAGATAGGGACTACAGAACACTATGGAACTACAGAACATTGAGATATATGGAACTACAGAACACTATATATAGTGGGAATCTGCAGAACACTATGAGATATGGACCTAGCTACAGAACACATATGAGATATGGACGAACAGAACACTCTGAGATTTGAACTACAGAACACTATAGATATGGAACTACAACACTATAGATCTGGAACTACAGAGACACTATGAGATAGAACTACAGAACACTGGGGATATGAGATATGGGAACTACAGAACACTATAGGGGAGTATGGAACTGCAGAACACTATGATATCAAAAGATGGACTACAGAACAACTAGGTATGAGGGATATGGTGGACGAACATGAACCTATATGAGATGTGGAACACAGAAGACAGTATTGAGATATAGACTACAGAAGCGAGGCTATGGACTACAGAACACTAATGAAAACCTACAGAACACGGAAGATATGGAACTACAAACACTATATGAAAGAGGGGAAGAGAGATTTGGAACTACATAACACATATGAGTATAGAACTACAGAACACTATGTAGCCTACAGAACACTATGGACCCTACAGAACCTGAGATATGGAACTACGAGAACACTATATGAATAGGACTGCAGAACACTATAGATATTAAGCAATAGGGGGGGGGGGAAAGAAAAAAATGAAAAATAGGGCCAACAAAAACATAAAAAAACAATTCGAGACCAAATGAGACATTTGATAGGGAGCAAAGGCAGGGAGGTGGGTAGCTGGTCTGTGAAAGAACTCATGACAGCGTTTCCGCACCTCCCTGTTACACCAAATGATGAAAAGAAGCAGGGAAAGTGGTCTGCGGTTACGCTCTGGGGGCCCTTGGAAGTAAGAAAAAAAAAGGGGGGTGCTCTACAGCGGGGGGCCGTCCCCTCCCTCTCAATATAAAACATATTGGAACTACAACAGAAACATATAATAGATTGTAACGTACTACAGAACACGATATGAGAAGAAAAACAAAATAGACCTACCGAACCTATGGAACTACAAGAAACCTCTAATGGAACACGCAAACACTGATATATGGAACTACAGAACACTATAATTAGATTTGGACTACAGAACACTATATGTAGATATAGAACTACAGAACACTATGACTACAGAACATATGGAACTAACAGAACAACTGAGATATGGAACTCAGTAACACTATATGAATATGGGACTCATACAGAACTTGAGAATATGGAACTACAGAACACTATAGATATGGGACTACAGAACACTATGAGATATTGAACTACAGACACATGAGATTATGGAACTGACAGAACACTATGAGATATGGAACTACAGAACACTATATGAGATATGGAACTACAGAACACTATAACTTAGATATGGAACTACAGAACACTATGCTATGCGCTTGGAAATACAGAAACACTATATGAGATAATTGGAACTAACAGACACATCCTATATGGCAAATGACAGAACACTAGGATGAGATCTGAATATAAACTACAGAACACTATTTAGATAATGGAATTTACAGAAAACTATGCGATATGTAAATACAGAGACAACTAAATGAGATATGGACTACAGAACATATATGAGATATGAACTACAGAACCTATGGAACTACAGACCTATATGAGATCTGGAACTTACAGAACACTATAAAATTAAATGTGAACTAAAACAACCTGACACTATGAGATATGAACTACAGAACAGCGGTTTTGGAGATAGGACGAACAGAACACTATAATGAGATATGGAACTCCAGAACACTAGATGAGATATAGGAACTACAAGAACACTATATGGGGGGGAAAAAAATATATTGAACTACGAACACTATGGAACTACAGAACACAGTAATGAGTATATGGAACTACAGAAACACGTATATGAGATGTGAACTACAGAACACTATAGATATTGAACTACAGAACACTATATGAGCTAATGGAACTACCGAACACGTTGAGATATGGAACTAAAACTACAGAACACTATATGAGATATGGAAACTACAGAGCACTATATTAGATATGTGGGCACTACAGAACACTATATGGATTATGAAACTACAGAAACACTACAATGAGATATGGAAACTAAGAACACTAGAATCTGAAACTACAGAACACTATATTAGATATTAAACTAAGAACACTATATGAGATATTGCACTACAGAACACTATGAGATATTGAACTACAGACACTATGGAACTACATACAACCCTATGAGATATGAACTGAAGGCGAGACACTATGAGATATGGACTACATAACACTATAGGTGAGATATGGAACCAGAACACTATATGAGATATGTAACTACGAACACTATAGAGATATGGAACTACAGTAACACATGAGATAATGGAACTACAAGAACACTATTGAATATGAGAACCTACAGGGAGCACTAGTATGAGAATATTGTACTACAGAACACTAATTAGAATATGAAACTACAGAACACTAAATGAATATGAAATACGAACACCTAAGAGATATGAAACTACAGAACTATATGAGATATGAAACTACATAACACGATATGATAAATGGAAATATACAGAACCTATGAAGATATGTAACTAGCCAGAAACCCTATGATGATAGGGAACTATACAGAACACTATATTAGATATGGAACTACAGAACTTATGAGATATGGAAGCGGACAAACACTATGGCGATATTGAAATACATAACACTATATGAGATATGTGAACTAACCGAACACTATTTATATGGAAATCAGAACACTAGATGAGAATATGTATCTACAGACACTAATAGCGATATTGAACTACGAACACTATCGATATTGACTAACAGAACACTAGATGAGATATGGGACTACAGAACACTATGATATATGGACCTACAGAAAACACTATGGAAAACTAAACAGAACACTATATGAGATATGAACTACAGAACACTATATATATATGTAACTACAGAGACACTATATGAATATATGTAACTATACAGAACCCTATTATATATGGAACTACAAACACTATATGAGATATGGAACTACAAACACTAGATAGATAGGATACATAACACTATATGAGATATGGAACTACAAGAACATATATGTGAACACAGAACACTATATGAGATATGGAACTACAGAACACTATATGAGATTGGAACTACAGAACACTAAAAAATAATGATATATGAAATACCGAACACTATATGAGATATGGAAACTACAGAACACTAGGATATAATGGAACTACAGAACACTCTATGAGATATGGCACTCTCAGAGCACTATATGAGATATGAGGACTTACAGAAACACGAATTGAGATATGAAACACAGAACAACTAAATGAGATATGAAACTACGACACTAGATATATGAAAACTACATAAGCACTTATGTATATAAAGCTACGAACACTATAATGAATATATGGAACTAAGACACTATGAATATTAATTCTGACAGAACACTATGGAACTACGTAAACCTATAGATATGGACTGCAGAACACTTGAATATGGCTGAACTAACAGAACACTATATGAGATTGGCCACAGAACCTATATGAGATATGGACCTACAGAACACTATATTGAGATATGGAACTTACAGAACCTATGAGATATTGAACTACATAACCACTATATGAGATAATGGACTACAAGACACTATATGCGATTATGGGACTACAGAACACATATGAGATATGAAACTACAGAACACTAAATAGATATGAACTACATAACACTAAGAAGAATAAACTAACCGAACACGTTGAGATATGAACTCCAGAACACGTATAAGTGAGATATGGAACTCAGAACACTATAGAATATGGAACTACAGAACACGATGTGAACTACAGAAACTAATGAAGATATGGAACTTTCGAGAACACTATGATATATGGAACTACAGAACCTATTAGATAGGACTACAGAGGGCGAAGTTTTAGTGGGTAAGAGCATTGTGCCGCCAGTAACCGAAAGGGTCGCTGGTTTCTATCCCCGGAGCCGACTAGGTGAAAAAATCTGTCGATGTGCCCTTAAGAGAAATGCACTAAACCCTAATTGGCCCTGTAAGTCGCATCTGGTAAGAGCGTCGCTAAATGACTAAAATGGTAAAATGTAAAACACTATGTGAACTACAGAACACTATGAGATATTTAAACTGCAGAACCTATGAGAATATGGAACTAGCAGAACTCTATCTATAGATTGGAACTACAGAACACTATCTGAGATATGGACTACGAACACTATAGATATATTGACCTACAGACACTATATGAGATATGACTACGAACCTATGAGAATATGGTACTACCGAACACTAATTGAACTACAGAACATGAGATTGGCAACTTACATAACACTATGAGAGTAGAATTGTAACTCAGAACACTATGAGAATGGAACTACAGAAATATAATTAAGAATATGGGAAACTACAAACCCTATGCGATATGGAACTGCAGAAACACTATATAATGGGAACTACATAACTCTATATGAGATTTGACACTACAAAAAACTATATGATAGTATGAAACTACAGAACACTATCTTAGATATTAAACTACAGAACACTATTAATATATGGAACTACATAACACATGATATTAATGGAACTACAGAACACTATGAACTACAGAACCACTAGAGTATGGACCTGCAGAACACTATGAGATATGGAACTATCAGAACCCTATGAGATATGGGACTACAGAAGGGGGAAGTTTAGTGGGTAGATCATTGTTTCCATTAACAAAAGGTTCGCTTGTGTTCTAATCCCCCTGCTAATCCCCCCGAGCCGACTAGTGAAAAATCTGTCTATGTGCCCTTAGAAAGGCAACTTACCTATTGGCTTCCGTTAAGTCGCTCTGGGAATAGAGCGTCTGCTAAATTACTAAAATGTAATGTAAAACACCTATGGAACTACAGAACACATTAGATCATGGAACTGCATAACACTATGAGATATGAATACGAACTCCTTATGAGAGTAATGGAACAACAAACACTCGATGAGATATGGAACTACAGACACTATATGAATATGGAACTACAGAACAACTATATAGATATGGGACTACAGAACACTATGAATATGGAACTACCAGAAACAATTGAACTACATTACATGAGATATGGAACTACAGAACACTAATGCGATATGGAACTGTCAGACCCACTAGAGATATGGAACTACGCGAACACTATATGAGTGGAACTACAGAACACTATGAATGTGGACTACAGAACACTATGAGATATTGAACTACAGAACACTGAGATATGAACTACAGAAAACTATGAGAGATGGATACTACAGAACACTGATATTAATGGAACTACAGAACACTATTGAAGATATGGAAGCGCAGACACTTATGCTATTTGAAACTACAGAACTCTATATTGATATGGAACTAACAGAACACTATATGAGATATGAAACTACAGAACCCTATATTAGATATAAACTACATAACACTATATGAGATATGGAACTACAGAACACATGAGATATGAATAACAGACCCTATGGAACTACATACCTATGAGAATGGAACTGGCAAACACTATGATATATGGAACTAGACCACTATGAGTAATGGGACTACAATAGGGGCGGAAGTTTTAGTTGGGTAATAGCATTTGTGGGCCAGTACCCGAACGGTTCGCTTGTCTAAAATCCCCGAGCCCTACTAGGTGACAATCTGTCGATGTGCCTTAAGAAGAAAGGGCATTAACCCCTAATTGCTCTCCTGTAAAGTCCCTCTGGATAAGAGCGTCTGCTAAATGACTAAAATGTAAAAATTTAAAACACTATGTAACTACATAACCTATGAGATATGGAACTGCCAGAAACACTAGAGATATGGACTACAGAACACTATATGAGATATGAATACCTACGAACACGATGAGTATGTGGAACTACATAACACTATGAGATATGGATACCTACAAACCCTATGAGATATGGACCAACAGAACACTATGATATATGGAACTAGGCATAACACTACTATAGATATGGAACTACAAAACACGTATATGAGATATGGAAACTGCATAACACTATGAGAATTAACTACAGAACACTATATGAGATATTGAACACAGACACTATATTGAGATGTGAACTACAGACACTATATGAGATATAGAACTACAGAACACTATTGAACTACAGAACACTATGGACGCTACAGCACACTGAGTAGATTGGAATACAAACAGCTACTATAGATATGGGACTACATAACACTATGAGATTGGAACTACAGAACACGTATTAGATATGGTACTACAGAACCCTCTGAGATATGTAACTAAGAACCTATGCGATATGGAACTACATACACTAGAGATATGGACTACAGAACACTATATGAGATATGGAACTACAGAACACTATAATGAGATATGGAACTACAGAACACTATGCTATATGGAATACAGAACACTATATGAGATATGGGAACTAACAGAACACTATCGTATGGAAATACGAACCCTAGATGAGATATTGATCTAACAGAACACTATATGAGATATGGAACACAGAACACTATGCGATATGTAAATACAAACACTAGATAGAGATGGGACTACAGACACTATGAGCGAATGGAACTACGAACACTATATGAGATCTGGACTACAGAACCTATGGAACTACATAACACTATAGAGATATTGGACTACAGAAATATGAACTACAGAACACTATAATGAGATTGGAACTACAGAACACTATATTAGATATGAATGGAACTACAGAACACATATGAGATATGGAACTACCGAACACTATATGATATATGGACTACAAACCTATATGAGATATGGGACACAGAACACTATATGAATATGGACTACATACACTATGGAACTACATAACACTATATGAGATATGGACTACAGAACACTATGCGATATTGAAATACATAACACTAGATGAGATATGGGACTACAGAACACTATATGATGATATGAACTACAGACAGCACACTATAGAGGATATGGAACTCAGAACACTATGGAGACTCTACAGAACACTATATTATATGGTGACTACAGACAAACACTATGGACTACGAACACTATGAGATATGGAACTGCAGGACACTCACATAGATATGAAATGACAGAACACTATAGATATGAACACAGAACACTATGATGTGGGTCCTCTGTAGCTAACTTGTAGAGCACGGCGCTTGTAACGCCAAGGTATGGGTTCGATCCGTACTTCTACCATAAATAAAAATGTATCAGTCACGCATGAACTGTAAGTCGCTTTGGATAAAGAGCGTCTGCTAAATGGCACATTTTGATTATTGATATGAAACTAACCGAACCTATAGAGATATGGACTACAGAACACTATATGAGATATGGAACTAACTACAGAACACAAGATATGGAATCTACAGAACACTAGGCGATATGGAAATACAGACCTAAGATGAGATTGGACCTACAGACACTATATGAGATATGGAACTACAGAACCCTATGATATATGGGACTACAGAACACATATGAGTATAGAACTACTACAGTAACACTATGGAACTACGAACACTATAGATATGGAATACAGAACACTAGATGAGATATGGACGACAGAACACTAAATGAGATATGGACTACAGAACCCTAAATAAGAAGATATGACACTACAGAACAACTATGCGATATGTGGAATAACATAACACTAGATAGATATGGAACTACAGAGCACTATATGGGATATGGGACTACAGAACACTATATGAGATATGAAACTACAGAACACTAAATGAGATATGGAGCTACAGAACACTATGGAACTACAGAACACTATGAGATATGGAACTACAGAACACTATATGAGATATGGAACTACAGAACACTATATGAGATATGGAACTACAGAACACTATGAGATATGGAACTGCAGAACACTATGAGATATGGAACTACAGAACACTATATGAGATATGGAACTACAGAACACTATATGAGATATGGAACTACAGAACACTATATGAGATATGGAACTACAGAACACTATATGAGATATGGGACTACAGAACACTATGAGATATGGAACTACAGAACACTATGGAACTACAGAACATTGAGATATGGAACTACAGAACACTATGAGATATGGGAACTGCAGAACACTATGAGATATGGAACTACAGAACACTATATGAGATATGGAACTACAGAACACTATGAGATGTGGAACTACAGAACACTATGAGATATGGAACTACAGAACACTATGAGATATGGAACTACAGAACACTAATGAGATATGGAACTACGAACCTGTAGAGATATTGACTACAGAACACTATATGAGATATGGAACTGCAGAACCCTATGATATAGGAAACTACAGAAACACTCATCACGAGATATGGAACTACAGAACACTATATTAGATTGAAACTACAGAACACTATGAGATATGGAAACTACATAACACTATGAGATATGGTACTAACGCAACACTATTATCATATGGTAACTACAGAACACTATGAGATGTAACTACAGAACACTATCATGATATATGGAACTACAGACACTCTATAGATCTGGAACTACAGAACACTATATGAGATATGGAAACTACAGAACCTAGATGAGATATGGAACTACAGAACACTATGGGACTACAGAACACTATTTAGATATGGACTAACATAACCCTATATGATTATTAACTAACAGACACTATATGCGATATGGAACTACAGAACACTATGAGTTAATGGAACTACAAGAACACGATGGCACTACAGAACTTTTAATATGAACTACAGACACTATGAGATACTGGAACGGCAGACACTATGAGATATTGAACTACAGACTCACGATAATGAGATATGGAACGACAGACACTATAGATTTGGAACTTACAGAACACTTATGAGATAGAACTACAGAAACACTATGAGATATGGAACTACATAACACTATAGATATGGAACACAGAAACACTTAATGATATATGGAACTACAGAACACTATATGAAGATATGGAACTGCAGAAACACTATGAGATATGGAAACTACACAGAACAAATATAGATTGTGAACTACATACACTATAGAATTTGAACTACAGAACCCTATGAGATATTAACTACGAGCACAACTATGAATATGTACTACATAACACTATGATATATATGGAACTACAGAACACTATGAGAATGATGGAACTACAGAAACACTATATGAAGATATGGAACTACAGAACACTCTATGAATATGGAACTAAACACTATATGATATATTGAATCTACACAGAACACTAGATGAGATATGGCACTACAGAACACTATGGAACTACAGAACCGATATGAGATTGGAACGACATAACACTATAAAATATGAAATACAGAACACTAATGATATATGAACTACAGAACCACTAAGAGATATGAAACTACAGAACACTATATGAGATATGAACTCAACCACTAATGAGATATGGAACTACAGACCACTATTGATTGGAACTACAGAACCCTAACTGAGATGGAACTAACGAACACTCTATGAGATATGGAACTACAGAACACTATATGAAGATAGTAACTACAGAACACTATATGAGATATGGAACTACAGAACACTATATTAGATATGGGACTACAGACACTATGAGATATGGAACTCAGAACACTTGCACTACAGAACATTGAGATATGGAACTACAGAACCTATGAGATATGGACCGTCAGACACTATGAGATATGGAACTCATAACACTATATGAGATATGGAACTACAGACCAACTATGAGCGGTGGGAACTACAGAACACTATGAGATATGGAACTACAGAACACTATGAGATATGGAAACTACAGAACACTATTAGATATGGAACTACAGAACACTATATAGATAATGGAACTACAGAACACTATGAGATATGGAACTGCAGAACACTATGAGATATGGAACTACAGAACACTATATGAGATATGGAACTACAGAACACTATGAGATGTGGAACTACAGAACACTATGAGATATGGAACTACAGAACACTATGAGATATGGGACTACAGAACACTATGAGATATGGAACTACAGAACACTATGAGATATGGAACTACAGAACACTATATGAGATATGGAACTACAGAACACTATATGAGATATGGAACTACAGAACACTATGAGATATGGAACTACAGGAACACTAGATGAGATATGGAACTACAGACACTATATGATTTGTTGATATTGGGAACTACAGAAAACACTATGGAACTACAGAACACTATATGAGATATGGAACTACATACCACTATATGGAGATATGGAACTAGCAGACACTAATGAATTGGAACTAAAGAAACTATATGAATATGGAAAACCTACAGAACACTATGAGATATGGAACTACATGAACACTATATGAGATTATGGACTACAGAGGCACGATATGAGATATGGGCCTAACAGACACTATAATGAGATATGAAACTACAGAACACTAAATGAGAATATGAAACACAGAACACTAAGAGATAGGAAACTAAGAACACTAAATATGAGATATGAAACTAACAAGAACACTATAGGAGATATGAACTACAAGAACACTATGAGATAGGAACTATACAGAACACTATATATGAGATTGGAACTACAGAACACTAAAGAATGAACCTACTAACACTAAGAGATTAAACTACAGAACACTATATGAATATTAAAACTACAGTACACCTATCAATTAGATATGCACTACAGTACACTATATTATAGTGTACGTACAGAACACTATGAATATGGAACTACAGAACACTAATGAGATGGACTACGAAACTATATGAGATATGGGACTACAGAAACTATATGAGATTTAGGGGGGACTACAGAACACTATGGAACTACAGAACACTATGGAACTACAGAACACTATGAGATATGGAACTACAGAACACTAGATGAGATATGGGACTACAGAACATTGAGATATGGAACTACAGAACACTATATGAGATATGAAACTACAGAACACTATATGAGATATGAAACTACAGAACACTATATGAGATATGAAACTAACAGAACACTATATGAGATATGAAACTACAGAACACTATATGAGATATGGAACTACAGAACACTATGGAACTACAGAACACTAGATGAGATATGGGACTACAGAACATTGAGATATGGAACTACAGAACACTATGAGATATGGAACTACAGAACACTAAATGAGATATGGGACTACAGAACACTAAATGAGATATGGGACTACAGAACACTAAATGAGATATGGGACTACAGAACACTAAATGAGATATGGGACTACAGAACATTGACCCTGTACTACCTAATTGGTGCATTCTGTACTAGTCACTCATTGTGTATTTATTCCTCATGTAATTATCTTTCTATTATTTCTCCTGTTCTCTCCGTGGTTGGGAACGGCCCGTCAGGAAGCCCCTGTTGTTTACTGTTATGATGAGTTTCTAGTATTGAGAAGTGAGGATGCAAGAATTTACTTAGACATTCTGTGGAGATTTTATACCAAGTATTTATTTGATCACGAGCTCGTGGGTTCATCTAACAAACGGACATAGCCTTGCCCCATTGTCAGTTGAACTGCCCACACACACACACACAAATCTCACATCTTTTATACTCTTGGTTACACATTTCTTCAACCCCATCTGGCCATCGTCAATGGGCACTCCCATTCTGATGTTATTCCTCGTTACCCCACGTCAGTATCCCGTCCATCCATCATGCTATCCTAAACATCAGTAATCTCCTTTGACATAACGGAACGTAGACTCCGTGGAACCAAGACAATTATCTCGTAACTCTAACCTCGTCCCCACGATACTATGACATGACATCATTACATTTACCAAGCGTGTGATCAAATGTAACTTGATTCTAAACTAAAAAAGACTGTTTTAGCTGAGAAGCAGTTCTCTCCTGATTAGGAGATTTCTGCTGGCAGGCGTCTGTTTCAGAGAGCCCAGTGTCTGATAAATGACTGCAGGGAGAGTTAGAGTATGTTAAGGGGAGTGTCCGTCCACTACAGTACTGCAGTGTCTTCAGGCCACTCAGAGGACAACGTGATATTCCTCCTCCACACCGTTTGAGACACACTGATAAAGGGAGTGGGATGGAGAGACAAGGACAACATTACTTTTCTTCCCCACAGTTTTAGATAGAGGGGACTTCAGTTAGTTAGACACAGAGGTCTTATGAATTGGATGCTAAAATGTTCTCAAACCAGAGATTACACAACCTAGTGAGTGGGGAGGAGAGGTGCTGCATGTATCTGAAGGCAGGACATGTAAGCCTAGTGTCATTTGTTCAGCTGATCTCTGGTGAGGAGTGAACACACAACACTGACATCCCCGCTGGGCTGGGCTGGAGGCTAGAAAGATCAGATATCTGTACAATCCAGTATATAAAACACAGTCTGTGTCCCGCTGCTGCCTAGTAGGAGACCTGTGGTGACAGGATCACTGTGGAGTAGGGGCGCACACACACACACCACACACAGCCTAGTAGGAGACCTGTGGTGACAGGATCACTGTGGAGTAGGAGGGCACACACACAGCCTAGTAGGAGACCTGTGGTGACAGGATCACTGTGGAGTAGGGGGGCACACACACAGCCTAGTAGGAGACCTGTGGTGACAGGATCACTGTGGAGTAGGGGGGCACACACACAGCCTAGTAGGAGACCTGTGGTGACAGGATCACTGTGGAGTAGGGGGCACACACAGCCTAGTAGGAGACCTGTGGTGACAGGATCACTGTGGAGTAGGGGCACACACACAGCCTAGTAGGAGACCTGTGGTGACAGGATCACTGTGGAGTAGGGGGGCACACACACAGCCTAGTAGGAGACCTGTGGTGACAGGATCACTGTGGAGTAGGGGGCACACACACAGCCTAGTAGGAGACCTGTGGTGACAGGATCACTGTGGAGTAGGGGGCACACACAGCCTAGTAGGAGACCTGTGGTGACAGGATCACTGTGGAGTAGGGGGGCGCACACACAGCCTAGTAGGAGACCTGTGGTGACAGGATCACTGTGGAGTAGGGGGGCACACACAGCCTAGTAGGAGACCTGTGGTGACAGGATCACTGTGGAGTAGGGGCGCGAACACAGCCTAGTAGGAGACCTGTGGTGACAGGATCACTGTGGAGTAGGGGGGCAAACACACACAGCCTAGTAGGAGACCTGTGGTGACAGGATCACTGTGGAGTAGGGGGGCACACACACAGCCTAGTAGGAGACCTGTGGTGACAGGATCACTGTGGAGTAGGGGGGCACACACAGCCTAGTAGGAGACCTGTGGTCACAGGATCACTGTGGAGTAGGGGGGCACACACACAGCCTAGTAGGAGACCTGTGGTGACAGGATCACTGTGGAGTAGGGGGGGCAAAACACACACAGCCTAGTAGGAGACCTGTGGTGACAGGATCACTGTGGAGTAGGGGGGCACACACACAGCCTAGTAGGAGACCTGTGGTGACAGGATCACTGTGGAGTAGGGGGGCACACACACAGCCTAGTAGGAGACCTGTGGAGTAGGGGGGCACACACACAGCCTAGTAGGAGACCTGTGGTGACAGGATCACTGTGGAGTAGGGGGGCACACACACAGCCTAGTAGGATACCTGTGGTGACAGGATCACTGTGGAGTAGGGGGCACACACAGCCTAGTAGGAGACCTGTGGTGACAGGATCACTGTGGAGTAGGGGGGCAAACACACACAGCCTAGTAGGAGACCTGTGGTGACAGGATCACTGTGGAGTAGGGGGGCACACCACAGCCTAGTAGGAGACCTGTGGTGACAGGATCACTGTGGAGTAGGGGGGCAAACACACACAGCCTAGTAGGAGACCTGTGGTGACAGGATCACTGTGGAGTAGGGGGGGCACACACACAGCCTAGTAGGAGACCTGTGGTGACAGGATCACTGTGGAGTAGGGGGCACACACAGCCTAGTAGGAGACCTGTGGTCAAAGGATCACTGTGGAGTAGGGGGGCACACACACAGCCTAGTAGGAGACCTGTGGTGACAGGATCACTGTGGAGTAGGGGGGCAAACACACACAGCCTAGTAGGAGACCTGTGGTGACAGGATCACTGTGGAGTAGGGGGCACACACACAGCCTAGTAGGAGACCTGTGGTGACAGGATCACTGTGGAGTAGGGGGGGCACACACACAGCCTAGTAGGAGACCTGTGGTGACAGGATCACTGTGGAGTAGGGGGGCACACACACAGCCTAGTAGGAGACCTGTGGTGACAGGATCACTGTGGAGTAGGGGGGCACACACACAGCCTAGTAGGATACCTGTGGTGACAGGATCACTGTGGAGTAGGGGGCACACACAGCCTAGTAGGAGACCTGTGGTGACAGGATCACTGTGGAGTAGGGGGGCAAACACACACAGCCTAGTAGGAGACCTGTGGTGACAGGATCACTGTGGAGTAGGGGGGCACACACAAAGCCTAGTAGGAGACCTGTGGTGACAGGATCACTGTGGAGTAGGGGCACACACAGCCTAGTAGGAGACCTGTGGTGACAGGATCACTGTGGAGTAGGGGGGAACACACACAGCCTAGTAGGAGACCTGTGGTGACAGGATCACTGTGGAGTAGGGGGGCACACACACAGCCTAGTAGGAGACCTGTGGTGACAGGATCACTGTGGAGTAGGGGGGCACACACAGCCTAGTAGGAGACCTGTGGTGACAGGATCACTGTGGAGTAGGGGGGCACACACACTGCCTAGCAGGAGACCTGTGGTGACAGGATCACTGTGGAGTAGGGGGGCACACACAGCCTAGTAGGAGACCTGTGGTGACAGGATCACTGTGGAGTAGGGGGCACACACACAGCCTAGTAGGAGACCTGTGGTGACAGGATCACTGTGGAGTAGGGGGCACACACACAGCCTAGTAGGAGACCTGTGGTGACAGGATCACTGTGGAGTAGGGGGGCACACACACAGCCTAGTAGGAGACCTGTGGTGACAGGATCACTGTGGAGTAGGGGGGCACACACACAGCCGAGTAGGAGACCTGTGGTGACAGGATCACTGTGGAGTAGGGGGGCACACACACACACAGCCTAGTAGGAGACCTGTGGTGACAGGATCACTGTGGAGTAGGGGGGCACACACAGCCTAGTAGGAGACCTGTGGTGACAGGATCACTGTGGAGTAGGGGGGCACACACACACACCACACACAGCCTAGTAGGAGACCTGTGGTGACAGGATCACTGTGGAGTAGGGGGGCACACACACACCACACACAGCCTAGTAGGAGACCTGTGGTGACAGGATCACTGTGGAGTAGGGGCGCGCACACAGCCTAGTAGGAGACCTGTGGTGACAGGGTCACTGTGGAGTAGGGGCACACACACAGCCTAGTAGGAGACCTGTGGTGACAGGATCACTGTGGAGTAGGGGCGGGCACACAGCCTAGTAGGAGACCTGTGGTGACAGGATCACTGTGGAGTAGGGGCACACACACAGCCTAGTAGGAGACCTGTGGTGACAGGATCACTGTGGAGTAGGGGGCACACAGCCTAGTAGGAGACCTGTGGTGACAGGATCACTGTGGAGTAGGGGGCACACAGCCTAGTAGGAGACCTGTGGTGACAGGATCACTGTGGAGTAGGGGGCACACAGCCTAGTAGGAGACCTGTGGTGACAGGATCACTGTGGAGTAGGGGGGGCACACACACACACACAGCCTAGTAGGAGACCTGTGGTGACAGGATCACTGTGGAGTAGGGGGGCACACACAGCCTAGTAGGAGACCTGTGGTGACAGGATCACTGTGGAGTAGGGGGCACAACACACCACACACAGCCTAGTAGGAGACCTGTGGTGACAGGATCACTGTGGAGTAGGGGGCAACAACCACACACTGCCTAATAGGAGACCTGTGGTGGACAGGATCACTGTGGAGAAGGGGGCACACCACAGCCTAGTAGGAGACCTGTGGTGACAGGATCACTGGTGGAGTAGGGGGGCACACACAGCCTAGTAGGGAACCTGTGGTGACAGGATCACTGTGGAGTAGGGGGCAACACACACCAGCCTAGTAGGATGACCTGTGGTGACAGGATCACTGTGGAGTAGGGGGGCACACAGCCTAGTGGAGGAGACCTGTGTGACAGGATCCTGTGGAGTAGGGGGCACACAAGCCTAGTAGGAGACCTGTGGTGACAGGATCACTGTGGAGTAGGGGGCACCCACAGCCTAGTAGGAGACCTGTGGTGACAGGATCACTGTGGAGTAGGGGGCACCAAACAGCCTAGTAGGAGACCTGTGGTGACAGGGATCCACTGTGAGAAAGTAGGGGGGCACACAACAGCCCCTAGTAGGAGACCCTGTGGTGACAGGATCACTGTGGAGTAGGAGGGCACACACACCCGCACACTTCCTAGTAGGAGACCTGTGGTTGACAGGATGTCACTGTGGAGTAGGGGGGCACACACAAAGCCTAGTAGGAGGACCTGTGGTGGAAAGGGATCACTGTGGAGTAGGGGGGGGCACACACAGCCTAGTAGGAGACCATGTGGGTGACAGGATCACTGTGGAGAGTAGGGGGCGCACACACAGCCTAAGTAGGAGACCTGTGGTGACAGGATCACTGTTGGAGTAGTGGGGGGCACACACAAGCCATAGTAGGCGGACCCTTGGTGACAGGATTCACTGTGGAGGGGGCGCACACAAACAGCCTATAGTAGGAGACCTGTGGTGGACAGGATCACTGTGGAGTAGGGGGCACACACAAAGCCTAGGTAGGAGACCTGGTTGTGACAGGATCACTGTGGAGTAGGGGGGCACCACACAGCCTAGTAGGAGACCTGTTGGTGACAGGATCACTGTGGAGTAGGGGGCAACACACAGCCTAGTAGGAGACCTGTGGTGACAGGATCACTGTGGAGTAGGGGGGCACACACACAGCCTAGTAGGAGACCTGTGGGTGACAGGATCACTGTGGAGTAGGGGGCACACACAGCCTAGTTAGGAGACCTGTGGTGACAGGATCACTGTGGAGTAGGGGGCCACAACACAGCCTAGTAGGAGACCTGTGGTGACAGGATCACTGTGGAGTAGGGGGGCACACACAGCCTAGTAGGAGACCTGTGGTGACAGGATCACTGTGGAGTAGGGGGGCACACACCAGCCTAGTAGGAGACCTGTGGTGACAGGATCACTGTGGAGTAGGGGGGCACACACACAGCCTAGTAGGAGACCTGTGGTGACAGGATCACTGTGGAGTAGGGGGGGCACACACACAGCCTAGTAGGAGACCTGTGGTGACAGGATCACTGTGGAGTAGGGGGGCACACACACACAGCCTAGTAGGAGACCTGTGGTGACAGGATCACTGTGGAGTAGGGGGGCACACACAGCCTAGTAGGAGACCTGTGGTGACAGGATCACTGTGGAGTAGGGGGGGCACACACAGCCTAGTAGGAGACCTGTGGTGACAGGATCACTGTGGAGTAGGGGGGCACACACACAGCCTAGTAGGAGGACCTGTGGTGACAGGATCACTGTGGAGTAGGGGGGCACACACAGCCTAGTAGGGAACCTGTGGTGACAGGATCACTGTGGAGTAGGGGGCGCACACACACAGCCTAGTAGGAGACCTGTGGTGACAGGATCACTGTGGAGTAGGGGGCACCCACAACAGCCTAGTAGGAGACCTGTGGTGACAGGATCACTGTGGAGTAGGGGGGCGCACACACAGCCTAGTAGGGACCTGTGGTGACAGATCACTGTGGAGTCGGGGGGCAACACACCAGCCTAGTAGGAGACCTGTGGTGACAGGATCACTGTGGAGTAGGGGGGCACACACACACAGCCTAGTAGGAGACCTGTGGTGACAGGATCACTGTGGAGTAGGGGGGGCAGCACACACAGCCTAGTAGGAGACCTGTGGTGACAGGATCACTGTGGAGTAGGGGGGCGCACACACAGCCTAGTAGGAGACCTGTGGTGACAGGATCACTGTGGAGTAGGGGGGCACACACACAGCCTAGTAGGAGACCTGTGGTGACAGGATCACTGTGGAGTAGGGGGGCACACACAGCCTAGTAGGAGACCTGTGGTGACAGGATCACTGTGGAGTAGGGGGGCACACACAGCCTAGTAGGAGACCTGTGGTGACAGGATCACTGTGGAGTAGGGGGGCACACACACAGCCTAGTAGGAGACCTGTGGTGACAGGATCACTGTGGAGTAGGGGGCACACACACAGCCTAGTAGGAGACCTGTGGTGACAGGATCACTGTGGAGTAGGGGGCGCGCACACAGCCTAGTAGGAGACCTGTGGTGACAGGATCACTGTGGAGTAGGGGGGCACACACAGCCTAGTAGGAGACCTGTGGTGACAGGATCACTGTGGAGTAGGGGGGCACACACACAGCCTAGTAGGAGACCTGTGGGTGACAGGATCACTGTGGAGTAGGGGGGCACACACACAGCCTAGTAGGAGACCTGTGGTGACAGGATCACTGTGGAGTAGGGGGCACACCACACAGCCTTAGTAGGAGACCTGTGGTGACAGGATCACTGTGGAGTAGGGGCGCACACACAGCCTAGTAGGAGACCTGTGGTGACAGGATCACTGTGGAGTAGGGGGCACACACACAGCCTAGTAGGAGACCTGTGGTGACAGGATCACTGTGGAGTAGGGGGGCACACACACAGCCTAGTAGGAGACCTGTGGTGACAGGATCACTGTGGAGTAGGGGGGCACACACACAGCCTAGTAGGAGACCTGTGGTGACAGGATCACTGTGGAGTAGGGGGGCACACACACCACAAGCCTGTGGAGACACTGTGGAGTAGGGGGCACACAACAGCCTAGTAGAGACTTGTGACAGGATCACTGTGGAGTAGGGGCACACACACCCTAGTAGGAGACCTGTGTGACAGGATCACTGTGGAGTAGGGGGCCACACACAGCCTAGTAGGAGACCTGTGGTGACAGGATCACTGTGGAGTAGGGGGCACAACACAGCCTAGTAGGAGACCTGTGGTGACAGGATCACTGTGGAGTAGGGGGGCACACACACAGCCTAGTAGGAGACCTGTGGTGACAGGATCACTGTGGAGTAGGGGGCACAACCAAGCCTAGTAGGAGACCTGTGTGACAGGATCACTGTGGAGTAGGGGCACACACACAGCTAGTAGGAGACCTGTGGTGACGGATCACGTGGAGTAGGGGCCACACACAGCCTAGTAGGAGACCTTGGTGACAGGATCACTGTGGAGGGGGCCACAAGCCTAGTAGGAGACTGTGGTGACAGGATCACTGTGGAGTAGGGGCACAACACAGCCTAGTAGGAGACCTGTGGTGACAGGATCACTGTGGAGTAGGGGCACACACACAGCCTAGTAGGAGACCTGTGGTGACAGGATCACTGTGGAGTAGGGGGGCACACACACACAGCCTAGTAGGAGACATGTGGAGTAGGGGGACACACACTCAATCATTTATGATGCAGATGATCAAGTCTTGTTTAGACAACTTAGATTCTGGCACAGCTCCTCTCCTCCAACGCCTTCCCAACGTTCCTCAGAACAGCCATTCTTCACAACCATAGCCTCTTTAGGTAAACCTCTGGCGTCCACAGTAGCCAAAGAAGACTGAGGCTCACTCTACACTCTGAGTAGATAGAGGCACATACCCTTAGCCTGGTAGTCCATCCAGCAATTCTCAGGACGACAAATAACTTCAGAGTTGTCCTCTTTACGGATCCCATAAACCAGGTGATCAATGAAACAGCTGGAGGGAGATGAAACGTGCTACATGCTAGCTACGTCTGCCAGCTAGCTCCCTCTCGATCTCTCATGTTGATAATGCTACATGCTAGTTACAGAACCTTCAGAAAGCATTCACACTCCTTGACTTACACATTTTGTTGTGTTACTGCCTGAATTTAAAAAGGATTCAATTGAGATTGAGACACTGGCCTACACACATAATGTCAAAGTGGATGATGTTCTTAGAAATGTTTACAAATGAAAAGTTTAAAATGTCTTGCGTCAGTAAGTATTCAACCCCTTTGTTATGGCAAGCCTAAATAAGTTCAGGAGTAAACATTTGCTTAACAAGTCACATAATAAAGCTGCATGGATTCACTGTGCGCAATAATAGTGTTCAACATGAATTTTTAAAGACTACCTCATCCTGTCCTGAATACAAAGTGTTATGTTTGGGGCAAATCCAATACATCGCTAAGTACCACTCTCCATATTTTCAAGCATAGTTATGGGTACGCTTGTAATCATTAAGGACTATGGAATTTTTCAGGATAGAAAACTTAAATGAAGCTAAGCACAGGCAAAATCCTAGAAGAAAACCTGGTTCAGTCTTTTTTCCACCAGACACTGGGAGATTAATTCACTTTTCAGCAGGACAATAACCTAAAACACAAGGCCAAATATACACTGGAGTTGCTTACCAAGACAGTGAATGTTCCTGAGTGGTATAGCTACAGTTTTGACTTAAATAGGCTTGTAAATCTATGGCAAGACCTGAAAATGGTTGACTAGCAATGATCAACAACCAATTTGACAGACCTTAAAGAATTTTGAAAAGAATGGGCAAATGTTGCACAATCCAGGTGTGGAAAGCTTGTCGAGATTTACCCAGAAAGACTCACAGTTGTAATCTATGTCAAAGGTGCCTCTACAAAGTATTGACTATGGGGTGTGAATACCTATGTAAATGAGATATTTCTGCATTTCATTTTTCAATACATTTGCAAAAATTACTAAAAACATGTTTTCAATTTGTTATATGGGGTATTGTGTGTAGCTGGGTGAGACAAAAAAAAATCAATTGAATCCATTTTAAATTCAGGCTGTAACACAAAATGTGGAAAAAGTCAAGGGGTATGAATACTTTCTGGAGGCACTGCACCTCTCAACACGTTTGGTTTCCCAGAATGCTCCCTGTTACACACACAGGGACGATCTCAGTTACAGTCTTCACGTCCCCTCAAAACCCATTGGAGGAGAAGGTCAGAGGGGAGAGGCCTCCGCCTTTCTAATCCAATGGGTTTTGAGAAGGGGACAAGAGAGAACAATTGAGATCTTCCACACACCTTCACGTCACACACACTTCCTGAAAGGATTCACACACTGGGCTAAGGGTGTCTGCAGAGGAAGTGTTGGACCCCCTCAGCCATACACAGACAAACGCGACACAACATGAGTGGAAACACTGAACAAAAATATAAAAACGCAACCATTTCAACAATCTTTCAAAGTTACAGTTCAGGAAATCAGTCAATTGAAAAATAGAAATGGTTTGTCGAGATCGCTGTAGAATAAATTGACTGGCCTGCACTGAGCCCTGACCTCAACCCCATCTAACACCTTTTGGATAAATTGGAAAGCCGACTGCGAGCCAGGCCTAATCGCCCAACATCAGTGCCCGACCTCACTAATGCTTGTGGTTGAATGGAAGCAAGTCCCCGCAGCAATGTTCCAACATCTAGTGGAAAGCATTCCCAGAAGAGTGGAGGCTGTTATAGCAGCAAAGAGGGGACCAACTCCATATTAATGTCTATGATTTTGGAATGAGACATTTGACCAGTAAGTGTCCACACATACTACTGGTCATGTAGTGTACCTTTTTTTTTTTTTAAAGGTAGGGGCGTGGATCAGAAAACCAGTCAGTATCTGGTGTGACCGCCATTTGCCTCATGCAGCTTGACACGGCTCCTTCACATAGAGTTGATCAGGCTGTTGATTGTGGCCTGTGGAATGTTGTCCCACTCTTCAATGGCTGTGTGAAGTTGCTGGAAATTGGTGGGAACCGGAACACGCTGTCGTACACGTCGATCCAGAGCATCCCAAACATGCTCGATGGGTGACATGTCTGGTGAGTATGCATGCCATGGAAGAACTGGGACATTTTCAGGAATTGCGTACAGACCCTTGCGACATGGGGCTGTGCATGATCATGCTGAAACACGAGGTGAGGTCCACATCACTAAGGAGCAATCATATGATCCAAACACACCAACACAGTTCTGAAGAGGGCACGACCACACCTATTCCCCCTATTTGGCATGGGCCCTCAGATCCTCAAGGTTCTACAGCTGCACCACCGAGAGCATCTTGACTGGCTGCATCACCGCCTGGTATGGCAACTGCTCGGCATCCGACCGCAAGGCGCTACAGAGGGTGTTGTGGACTGCCATCCAGGACCTCTATACCAGGCTGTCAGAGGAAGGCCATAAAAATGGTCAAAGACTCCAGCCACCCAAGTCATAGACTGTTCTCTCTGCAACCACACAGCAAGCGGTTTGGAGTGATTTCAGTGCCAACAGAAATTGTATTAGAATTTCATAATTCTGAATTTGTATAAGGACATTGAATTTGAATGTAATATTTGTTCATGTTTTCATGTTTAATGCACAAATTGAAAAGTTTGAAGCGCTTTGGTTCTAAGCTATTATGACCACAATCCTAAAAGGTAAGACTCTTTGGAGCACGGATGTGCTTTCTATTCCCCTCTGTGATGATCACAGGCCACGTTAGAAGGGAATGTCACAAAAACTGAAATTTGGCCCCCATAAAAATATAGTTGAAATGCCCTTCTAAGGATAGCCTTTCTACTCCCTATTTAATATTGCTCTTGTGACTGACTGGGTTCGAACCAGGTCTCCTGCATGTCACAAGACTGTGTTGGCCCACTTACATAAATCCCATAGGGATTAGTTCAGGAAGGTAACGCAAGTCTTCAAGCCTCCAGCAAAGGTTCATGGAACCACCTCGGTTACATTTCACCCCCATTTGTCCTCATAAACAGATCACGGCACTAATATAACTGACTGGGTTCAACATCAGGCCTACAACACACCACTTCGTGGCAAACAGAAGCAGAAGGATCTGTGCACCCTATTTAAATGAGGGCAACAGAGATGGTTAGGTGATCCATCCACGTGACGAGTAGCCTCGCAATTACCAGACTGATTACCGCTTGTGGAGAACCATTAATGGCGCGGGATCAGGCTGTGAACCTTGGCAGAGACACGAAGACGTGTTAGTTTGACTGATAAGGTTCTAAACCTCTTGTGCACCAGAGATGCACGATATATATACAGTATATATAAACTCAGCACAAAAAGAAACGTCCCTTTTTCAGGACACTGGCTTTCAAAGATAATTAGTAAAAATCTAAATAACTTCACAGATCTTCTTTGTAAAGGGTTTAAACACTGTTTCCCATGCTTGTTCAATGAACCATAAACAATTAATGAACATGCACCTGTGGAACGGTCGTTAAGACACTAACAGCTTACAGACGGTAGGCAATTAAGGTCACAGTTATGAAAACTTAGGACACTAAAGAGGCCTTTCTACTGACTCTGAAAAACACCAAAAGAAAGATGCCCAGGGTCTCTGCTCATCTGCGTGAACGTGCCTTAGGCATGCTGCAAGGAGGCAGGAGGACTGCAGATGTGGCAATAAATTGCAATGTCTGTACTGTGAGACACCTAAGACAGCGCTACAGGGAGACAGGATGGACAGCTGATCGTCCTCGCAGTGGCAGACCACGTGTAACAACACCTGCACAGGATCGGTACATCCGAACATCACACCTGCGGGACAGGTACAGGATGGCAACAACAACTGCCCGAGTTACACCAGGAACGCACAATCCCTCCATCAGTGCTCAGACTGTCCGCAATAGGCTGAGAGAGGCTGGACTGAGGGCTTGTAGGCCTGTTGTAAGGCAGGTCCTCACCAGACATCACCGGCAACAACGTTGCCTATGGGCACAAACCCACCGTCGCTGGACCAGACAGGACTGGCAAAAAGTGCTCTTCACTGACGAGTCGCGGTTTTGTCTCACCAGGGGTGATGGTCGGATTCGCGTTGATCGTCAAAGGAATGAGCGTTACACCGAGGCCTGTACTCTGGAGCGGGATCGATTTGGAGGTGGAGGGTCCGTCATGGTCTGGGGCGGTGTGTCACAGCATCATCGGCCTGAGCTTGTTGTCATTGCAGGCAATCTCAACGCTGTGCGTTACAGGGAAGACATCCTCCTCCCTCATGTGGTACCCTTCCTGCAGGCTCATCCTGACATGACCCACCAGCATGACAATGCCACCAGCCATACTGCTCGTTCTGTGCGTGATTTCCTGCAAGACAGGAATGTCAGTGTTCTGCCACGGCCAGCGAAGAGCCCCATTGAACACGTCTGGGACCTGTTGGATCGGAGGGTGAGGGCTAGGCCATTCCCCCCAGAAATGTCCAGGAACTTGCAGGTGCCTTGGTGGAAGAGTGGGGTAACATCTCACAGCAAGAACTGGCAAACCTGGTGCAGTCCATGAGGAGGAGATGCACTGCAGTACTTAATGCAGCTGGTGGCCACACCAGATACTGACTGTTCCTTTTGATTTTGACCCCCCCCTTTGTTAAGGGACACATTATTGAATTTCTGTTAGTCACATGTCTGTGGAACTTGTTCAGTTTATGTCTCAGTTCTTGAATCTTATGTTCATACAAATATTTACACATGTTAAGTTTGCTGAAAATCTCTTGTGAATCACGCATAAAAAAAAGAAAAAGAAAATATTATTTTTAGGCTATACTTGAAGATACATTTATATACACTACCGTTCAAAAGTTTGGGGTCACTTAGAAATGTCCTTGTTTGAAAGAAAAGCATTTTTTCCCATTAAAAT